GTGGGGCTGGGGGATAAAGAACTTGAAATATTAGACTTTTGTGAGATCCAAAACAGGCAGAAATGATAGAGGACTTTCAATCCTGTTAGTTCGAAAATGGTCTCAAAACAAAGACAGAAACTATCCACTTTTGATGAAACTAAATGTATGAGTTAGGGATTGCTTTGGTTACAATGTACCAGACACCTGACTATAGTAGTTTAACCAAATGTGGTTTTATTTCTCTCACATGAAAAACTTAGGAATTAGGAATTAGGAAGTTTAGGTAGGCTCAGCAGGTTCACTACATCATTGATGATTCATGCTCCTTCTGTCATCCCATTCTCTGCTATTAACAAGTGGCTTTCATTCTCATGGTCACTTCGTGGTTTCCAGATGGCTGCCAGACTGCCTTCCAAGCAGAAAGAGAAAGAAAGAGTCAACAAGGGAAGGAGAAGGGCAAAAGTTTCTTCCCCTTCTTCCCTTCAGCAAGCTTTCCAAGAAGCTCTACCCAGGGACTTCCATTCTTATCTCACTGGCCAACCTATCTCTTGGGTGTTCCTAGGGCACATTTTCTTTCTCAATAAAATCCGAGTTCGGGAAGTAAAAACTTGGTTGAGCCATAAGCAGTCTAACATTCCAGGAGACATTTGTAACCCTAAATTGTAACATTTGAAGATGGAAAGTGAATGAGGCATCGGCAAATGATGCACAAGAGAAGGAAGGTCAGATTTAAGTGCCAGCAAAGGGGAGGAGTGGTACAATTAGCAAGGCTATGTGCCCTGAAGGCATGCTTACAATAGGAAATACAAGACCAAAATATAAACAAACTTAAAGGAAGTAGAGATAATACCATGCACATGCTGTATAATATTATACTTCAGTATGATTAAAATGCATAATCCTGAGATAAGAAAAAAATTATCCAATCCAAGCAACAAGAACAGGATGCTTTAATATAAATAAGAACTTGAAAACTAAAAAAAACAAAAACAAAAACAAAATACAGCTGAAATTCTTAAAAAAACACAATAGAACAAATGGGAAGAGAAAATTAAGAAAATCTCCCTTAAAATAGAACATCTAAATAACAGAAGGCCCATAAAGGACAGAAGAAGGTAGGGAGGAAACCATCGAAGACTTAATACAAAAGACATTCCTCAGAACTGAAGGAGGCAAGTCTCCAGAATGAAAAGACTGCTCACCACGACAGAAGGCAAAAGACTCACACAGTCATGAAATTTCAGAACATTAAGGCCAAAGAGAAGAGATTTAAACCGTTTAGAAAAAAAAAAAGACAGATGACATACAAAGGAGGGGAATTCGTCACTAGAAAGCGGAGGGAAATGGAAGCAATACCTCCCAAATTCTGAGAAAAAAATTATTTTCCACTAAGAATTCTCTACCTAATGAGTCATATTCAGACATGCTAAGTGTCAAAAAACTTACGCCATGCATCCTTCTTTGAGAAGCAGCTGGAGAGTCTTGTCCATCAACCAACCTAAAGTAGTCACAATCAAAAAAAGGAAAGACATGGGATCTAGGAAAGAGGACCAAACACAGGTGAGCTGAGTGTTGACACAGGTGAGCTGAGGACTGCCGCGAGTTCAGATTGAAGTGGGAGACTGGAGGAGTCTAGAAGCCATTTGTCTGGGAAGGAAAATGAAACCAGTAAATTGTCAGGTTTGCTTGCTGGGCAAACTGTAACAAAAGGCATAAAACAAAGCTGTTCAACTCAGATAGTCGAAGAAAACATTTTAAAAGAAAGAGAATTATTAACACCAATAACACATACAAAAAGTTGGACTACAGAAAATGTAATCATAGTGTTATTGAAACTGCAATGGGCTCTCAGCCTGGGTCCAGTTCCTCGTCACACACAGATCCAATTACTGAGACAAGGAGGATTGCCAAGGAAGAAAGGAATTTTTAATACAAAAGACTTGTCTTCTCTGGAGAACGGTAGAGGCCACCTCAAATCCCTCTCCGCCCCAAAAGAGATCAAGGGCTTTTTAAGGAGGGGCCATGTGCCTTGGGGCAGGTTGAAGGGGATAGTGACTCTTGGCTTCAGGAGGTCTGCCCTGGGGCTTTCAAACTCTCAATTCCTTTGTCTTGCAGAAAATCCATCATTTCTGGAAAACAACTCAAAATGTCAAGTAGTTAGTTAAAGCAGAGAATTATAGAAAACACATAGGGGTCATTGAAATTTGTTCCTGGAGCCAGTCACAATAGAATACTAATTGGCTTATGAGAGTATATATATATATATATGGACATAACAAAGACACCTAATACCAATTTAACAAAAAGTTGAAATATGACATTAGAAGGATGGAGGGAGGAAATGAAGAGGTATGAAATAAATTCCTCATTTTCTGAAACAGGAGGTCAATAGAGGGGTTCTGGAAGGGATGAATCAGGGCTGGGCATGATGGCTCATTCACGTAATCCAAGCACTTTGGGAGGCCAGGGTAGGAGGATTGCGTAAGGCCAGGAATTTGGGATTACAATGAGCTATGATCAGGCCACTGCACTACAGCCTCGGCGACAGAATCACACCCGTCTCAAAATAACGAAATAATTAATTAATTAAATAAAAGTGATGAATTGGCTGATCGTGGTGGCTTACACCTGTAATCCCAGCACTTTGGGAGGCCGAGGCAGGAGGCTGGCTTGAGGACAAAAGTTCAAGACCGGCCTGGGGCAACATAGCCAGGACCCATCTCTCCAACTGCACCTCCCTCCCGCCCCGGCAAAAAAACAAAAACAAAAACAAAAAAAAACGTAGCTGGGCATGGTAATGCACGCCCATAGTCCTAGCTACTTGGGAGGCTGAGGTGGGAGGATTGCTTGAGCCCAGGAATTGGAGGCTATAGTGAGCTATAGTTGGGCCACTGCATTCGACCTGACAGAGCAAGACCGTCTCTACAAAAAAAACAATAAAATAAAAAATAAATAGAAGTTATGAATCAAGAGATAGCAATAGTACTTAGAAATAGGAAGAGAGCAATACTCCAGTATGTCTAAAAGTGGTTGCCTTGGCAAGTGGAAGTCAGGTGCGGGACAAAAGGACAAGAGGTTGGTCTCCTTATGAGTCTTTTATCACTATTTGAATTTTTTAAGGCAGAAGAGAATAAGGGTAGAATGGAAAATGAGAGCCTTCTACTCAAAGTGAGTAGACACGAAGTCTACTCAGCATCAGCTGGGAGCTTGTTAATTGCAGTATCTCCAACTCAGCCCAGACCTCCAGAATAAGTCTGTATTTTAACGCCATCTCTTGGTGATGATGAGAGGCACTTAACTAGTAGTTAGGGTGCAGGAGGCCTGAAGAGATGCAGGTGTCCATCGCTGTAGTAAAGGTGAAGAAGTGAAGCAAGATTGAGGGGCACACAAGGTTATCAGAGGGTTCAAGTCTGAATTCAGCCCAACATTCGAGGTAACTTCACCCTTTTCACTTGCCTACAACTTCCTAACATCACTGCTCTAAACTCCTGACAAATCATAATCTTCCTGTTTCCCAAATTTCCTGCCCTGGTCATCACTTCCTTCACCATTTGGTTTGAGTTTTACCTCTTTCCTTCACAAAATCTGTCTTTACAAATTTTGTCTCACAGCAGTTGCACACGTGTCGTTATTTTCCCAAATTGTTCCTGTATATTGATTACTAAGACCATATAATAGGCTAGATGCTCAGTAAGTTTACCAATTGTGTTCTTTCAGATCTTCAAGTTATGTGCCAGAACAGATGCATAGAACAGTAAATAGCAGTCTCTGCCCTCCAGTAAAGAGAAGAAAACAAAACACTAGACACAAGAGCTTTGGTGGGGCAAACCCCACAATTCTAAGAGCTCTTTCATGATTCCACTAGAAATGAGGACTAAGCTAAGTAGGTGTTAAAGAGAAATCTTTGATTCCCAGTCCTGCCACCCTGTTTTCATTATACTTTTATATCCCAAGTTTCCAAAGATGTATAAAGCTTCTCTAAATGTTTGAAGGGAAATTATTAATGTATCATAGAAGCCATTTGCTGCTTTAAGTGGAAGACAGATACCAAAACCAAAATCTAAACCATAGTTGCTCTTTGGACCACATACAATGGAAACCACTCAAAATGATTCTGCAATATTATTTTAAAACTGAAGAAAAACACTAAGATACACAAATAAAAAGTTTTAAAATTGATCTGAAATTATGGTATCATGATTTGGGAATGCAAAGTCTGGTTTAAATATAAAATTAAGTTTCCCTCAAGATACATATAAAATTACTAATCAACGGCTAAATCTTAAAGACATTCAGCAGCAAGGCTTAATTATGAAGTTTCAAAAGACAACTCCCTATGATTAAAGATCTCCTTTATTAAAGTGAGGATTAATCTATGCAAATTGGCTTCTCTTTGAAGTGGCCCTTGCAAACAAGCTATTTGAGGTTATTATAGAATGGACAAGATGTTGCCTTCTAAAAATGATTAAGGAGGAATTAATATATATCCACATAAGGAATTCCTTATTTTGTGCTATTCTCTCAATCACCATTTACTGACAGAAAAATTTGAAAATGATCCCTTAGGGGAGAATAGAGAATTTGTATAACAAATTCTATGGCCCAGAACTATCTGCCATAAAAAGGTATTTCTCTGAAGACTCATCCTTTATCTTAAAAATTTGTGCAAATCTACTCTATCATAGATTCCTAGTAGTTTTTGTTTGAAAAGGTATCCATTCAAAGAGAAGTAAAATGACACTCAAAAAAAAAATGTTATTCCATAACTGAGGAGCCAGCACTTAGCTCACATCCCAGTTTGAGAAGAGCATATGCTGTAGCCCCGCCTCCCCTCCACCCAGCTGCGTCGTATTTGTTGTAAAACTGTAAAGACAAATGCTGATCACACAATTTGTTCTAGGTGTGTGTGTATACATGCGGGGGACAGAGCAGTCTTGAAACGTCTGTGAATGAAAGTTTTTATTTTTACACCATGATCCAATTCTAGTTTTTCATTTTTATTAAATGAATTTGAAAAATTTTATTTTTCAACCACACTAAATTTACAAAAAAGTTCTCTCACATTACACTAAAGCATTCCTCATGTTTTATTTCCAGTGTTCAGATATTTAATGAATAAAATCATTTTAATGGGTCTCTTTTAATTAACTTCTTCAAATATACATTGTCTAAAATCTGTCCAGATCAAAAAGGTTGATCCTGCAGTTACCTGTGTAGACTCTGCCAAGCTATTACAAGTTCAATATAAATTGATGTCTTCCAGAGTACAAAGTCAATATAACAGTAACACAGTAACACTGCTCACCCATTTCCACTAAGCCAATCTGGGCAAAGTACTTTGTTAAAATTCTTCCTCTGCCTGTTTGCTGCGGGACTGCTTGAGCTGCTGCAGGCGCTCAACGGTTTCAGAAATGGTACGTTCCCCATGGACTTTATTATCTCTTGTGCGGATATTAACAGTGCCACTGTTTTTTTCTTTTTCACCAACAACTAAAACAAAAGACAAAAAGCTTTGTTAGACTTAATCTAAAGATACGGAAGGATTCCTATTGAACATCTGAAAAATGATCCTGGGACTCAAAAGCTACCCTGCAGCTTCTAATATATTAAAATGTATACAGGAGACCACGTGTAGTTGGGCAAATGATTTAAAAATCTATTCATTTAAAAAAAATAGATAAAAACCACTTTCCAATACCTACAACTACTGTGCTTATTGAGTCACTTAATCCAGCCAACTTAATAAAAACTTGCTGTATAAAGAAATATGAGGTAAAGGGAGAAAACTTTCAGACAAACCTTTGAAGATTTTTTTTTTTTTCCCAAACCAAAATTTTCCTTTGTTATATAGTTGAAGAAACATAATAGTTTAAGAATCAGGACAGGAAGGAACTAAATAGATTCTTGACCACAATTCACTTAAGCTTGCCTCAAGATTTCAGTAGATTTCCCGAAGGTTTGGCAAGTTTTCTTTGGTAAGTTTTCTTTCTTACCTAGGATGAAGTTATATTGTGCTAACTGTGCATTTCTGATCTTCTTATTCAATGTACAGCCTGGATCCAGATCAATATCTGCCATGAGTTTGGCATCATGGAATTGTTGCCGTACCTATTTAAACAGAGATACAGAATTCATCAGATCTAGAATTAGGATTATATTTTGATTTTAAATGATTTCTTTCATTCAACATAGAATTTAGATAATCATGCAAGCATTAAAAAGGAATGCTAACAGATATATTGAAGCATATATTAATAATCTGTGACTTGGGTCTACATTAAAAAATGGAAATAATTTATTTTGCTCAAGAGATAAATGTTTTAGAAAATCCTTAAAAATCAGAATTCAGGCAATCAATTAAATTAAATCAGCTCTCTTAAAACATACATTATAAAGGGAAAGGAATCCTTTTGCAAACGTATCTCAAGTTCCTGATACTGTTGCCAGAAAATAGTTTATCATCTTTCATATAACATCCAATGATGGATTTACAGTCTAATGGAGAATACAGCATTTCTGATCCCACAAATAGGCTGCAAGTTGGTAACAGGAATCCATCCATTGCTGCCATTTATGTGTGCAATAGTTTAAAATAAAATGTTGATGATAGTGCAAACAATAAGTTAAAATCATCCCAACAGCTTCTTTTCTGTTCCTAAAAAATGGAATATAAATTGCCATATAAAATTGTCTTTTAATACTGTGTATAATGACCTAATTAAACAGAATTCTTTAAGAATAATTTAAAGATCACATCTGAGAATAATTAAAAAAGCAATACACTAGATCAAATTTTAATTTTAAATTAGATTAAATCAACTAGATTAAATTTTCCATCCACCTGAAAACCAATTATCATTAATGTGACAAAAAGATCTAAATGAACCATTTAATTTCACTATCACTTCACATTAACCTCAGATTGCAGAAATGAAAAACACCATGTACTCAACACTTCAAAGAAATGGTCTTCAAGTGAATAAATACTAACTTTCAAGTATCAGAAAGTTTAACAGATTCTCCTGGGCATTAATTAGTTCCTTAAATTTAAAATAGAATAATAAAGACTTAATAGTCTGAAAATAATTTAGAACAAATTAACAATGAGTGAATATGAAAAAAATATATTTCTGCTCATAAACAGTGTGCTTTGAGAGTTTGTCATTTTACATGCAAATCACCCCACATCTGGTTGAAAACAGTTACAGTGGCCAATAATGCAAAGAAAGGACAGGAGAGTTGGAAGCCGGAGTTCCTTCCTCATCTCTACCATTGGGGCAGTAACCTTGGGTTCTAGCTTAAAGCCATAGGCAGTGACCATCTGTCCTTTTTTTTTTTTTTTTTTTTTTTTTACAAACAAGGAAGTTATAAAGTTTCTGCTAAGCAGAATTACTACCACAATTCCCCCCAGAGCACTAAGGAGAAGGGTAGGAGTTTATGGAAGTTCTGATCAAATGCAGAATGAATTTTCTCCTGAAAACATCTTAGGTAAGGCTGAAAGTGAAATAGTAACTATTAGTACTCCATTAAGTACCACCAGTAAAACTAACTTTCTTGGGTTGACCTACGTATTCAATTATTTCTTTCAACTTTCTATGGAAAAATATTCCAAATGATTCACAACACACTAATTTTTCAAATCCAAGTTATATGTAAATTTAGGACTATTTGTGGATGCCAAAGTTTATGTCCTTGAGGAATATCTTTTTGGAACAACGTAAATTACCTTTACCTTTGACCGTATTGTACACAAGCCTTAGCTTAACTAATAGGTTTTTATGCCTTAATGATCATTAATCAATTGAACTGCTATGATTTTAAAAGTACACAAATTTCAGAATGGTTCTTACAGAGTTTAACAATTAGAGGGCCAGGATAAGTCTACATCTTCAACCATAACTTTAAAGAATAAAACACCAGTTTTTTGGTTTCTCAATATGGGACCTGTGCGCATAGAAGATGGGCAATTCTGCAACTGGGGAATGGCCCAATAATTGCAAATGTTTAACATCTCTGGTCTCTAGTCATTAAGTATGAATAGTGGTGTCCTGTCTTTCCTTTTCTCCAAGTCAAAATAACCAACCTCCCTGCCTCCAAACGAAAACCTCACCACCACATAATTCCAAATGCCAACCCACTCCCAGAGGGAAGGGGGGGTCAGTACTGTCTCCAGTTGAAAACTCAGTTAACTAATACAGACTTTTCCTACTGTGTGAGCTTTCATAATGCAAATAAATGCAATCAATTAACCATGGAACACTGATTCTCACCATTTATAAATAAAATTACTGTATGCAGTAATAGAAATACGTTACTTATTGGTTGGTTTAATGTCCAATTTTTTCCTAAAGACAGTTAAGACCTGAGTGCAATTTATTTATATAATCTGAAAACATAATGGTTTTGATGTTACAGTATTATTCATTGATCAACTTTTAATCATTTGAAATTCCTTAGTATGGAGTTACCACTATAGCAGAACAGATTATTCTAGCTTTTAAGGTAAAGTGTAAATGGTTATTTAAAAAAATTTTTTTTCAGACAGCCAGCAGCTTATAATAAATTACTATACATTTGTTAGTAAGTGAGTTTTTTGGCGGGAGAGCAAGACATTGGTCTGTCATGCAACTAACCTGAAAAAAAGTTTCAAATAGCTAAATACATTTGCATTAAAAATGAAGCAAAATTACTCTTTGATAAAGAGCAGCTTAAACTGTATTTTGCATTTGAATTTACATATCATACTGAGGTACTCGATATTTGCTAATTTAGTTTTTTAAAATACTAAACACTAAAATATGCAACTATATATAAAATATTACCTGAATATGTCTTATGATTATGGAACGATGTGGAAAAGCACTGAAGAGGTAATACCAATTCAGGCTTCTCACAGATGGAAAATAATATTTTTTGATATCATAAGCTTGATTTACTAAGAATACGGGGCTTGTAAGATTTGAAAAGCTTCAACAGATATTAAATTGAAAGAAAAGTCATATCTAAGGATTACCTTTTGGGCATATTCATCACATGTTGGTCCAACTGGAACTACCATTACCTGGCGAGGAGACAGCCAAAAGGGCCTTTAGAAGAAAATAAAAATATTTAATGTGGATCTGGGAATACTCACTAAACAAAGACAGCACATTTCTTAGTTTACTCTTCAATATCTTTTCCTAAAAACATGTAAGGGCTACTTTTAAAACTTAACTTTTAAAAAAATTATTCAATAAAAATTAAGGGAAGAAAATTCAGAAAAAAACTAACCCTAACATATAAAGAAAATCTGTAACTATGATTTGCCTTGCTAAGCAGATACCAAAGTAAATTGAGGACAGGAATTAGGCCTCACACTTTAATGCATCACATAGTAAAACCCCATGTATTGGCTATGAGAGGGGTTAAACAAATTGTTAAATAACTGCACGTAGTGATGAATTATTCAATATTATTTTATTATTTCTTCTTTTTTGGGGACATAGACAATGCCTTCAGTTTATTCAAGATCATTTTTGTAGGATTTAGCAAGTTGTAATTGATAAAAACTGGTGGTGGCACTTGGTAAAAAACGAGAGTTTTTTTACCTCTTACATAAAAAAAGTTATTATCTTATTTCATCGATCAGTACAAAAAACTCCCCTAATGTATGAACTAACCAATTTCAAATAAAACTGAAATGACAGCAATGTGTAAGATTAAACCAATTTGCAACAATTTATAAGTTTTAATTCAACACAATTACTATGGCAGGCTCTACGAATGATTATTTTATAACCCTGTGCTGCTTTCAACTGTGTTGTGGGCCCAGACAAAACTACTTAAAAAATATAAACTGCTTAAAATAATAGAAATGAATCACAAAACGCTGATCAGTTCAGCATGTTTTTTAAAAAATGCTTAGCTTCTAAAAGATGCCAACATACTTGGCTTATTGTGATCAGCAAGGCTGAACAAAGTAA